TACATCTCTGACACAGCCCATCTTTCTATCCAGTGCTGTACCAACCCCTCAGCAATCAGAGTGCAGTTAATAAACGCTCGAGACTCTGTAAACATTTTGATTTGGCTGTACATAACCCTCATTACTTTAGCACAAGCCTCTCACATTAAATTAGGATTTCTAAGGTTACTTCTAACCATCTCTGAAGCAAACAAACAGACCGTTTTCTTGTGAATTTGCTGTTAGTAACCTTTAGGGCGGGAGGTTACATCCAACATCCTAACACCCCTACAATGACTATATTAGACTTGACAGCGAGGTGCACAAGGAAGAAAGATGCCAATTAACATATAATTAGACCAGATTACAACGCCAAAGATCAACAGACCATAAATAATTCAAAGAGAAGAACACACTGAAATGAAGGGAATTTTAATTTGTGTGTAATCTTTATGCTGATCCTTCAGACTGCTTCTTCCTTTCCTTGTAGTAACCCTTACACTGCTTTATACAGGCCATGTTTGCAATTTACGGGATTGAAAAGGCCATTTCCAGACTGTTTTCAAACATAACTATGACCCTCACTATACAGATGAAAATACCACAGGATGATTTTTACTAGTTTTAGAAAAATGACAACAAATAATACATAGAAGTGTTGTATTCTGAGGTGCTAGGAAAAGAACGCCAGTGGTGGTGAACACTGACACCTGCTGGGGTACACACAAAAGCCATCTAAAGAATGTGAAATAAAGCGATTTTCAGAGAGACCTCTAGTGGCACCACAGCAAGAAGGCAACGCTCATGAGGATGGTTAAGCTGTAATAAAGATAATGGATAACCAGGTTAAAAGCATTAACCATATCCATTATCAAAATGGAAAAGCAAAAAGCTACAAAGCTGGAAAAAAGTTCTCTCCTTTGTGTCAGTAAGAGAACATAGGATTAGCTCAAAAATGCCCTAAAAAGCAATACAGTATATTACTGCCAAGATACAAAGTTCACAAAAGATTAATTTACAAACAAAAATAAGCTGATGCTACTCACATTTTCTAACAGCATTTCTCTCTCATCCTCCACTTCTTGACTCCATACAGTCATGTCATTTTTAGTCTTCTGGGTGACAGTCAACACCGTTAAACGGTTGGCATTCACTTCTGGAAATACTGATTCAAAGTCTGGAAGAAAGTGAAACCAGCATGTTATAGCTTGCTTTTACTTTTTACTTATGATTTTCCAGTTTTAGACAAATTACTGACTGTAGTCTTCCTTTCATTTAAATCCAAAATTAGAAAGTTTTATTCCAATTTAATTTCAATCATTTCCTCCTTCAGCAAATGAAAGACACAAACCCATTGCTTTCAAGCAGTTCCATAATTTCAATTTGCTATTTCACTAAGAAGCAGTGCCAAAAGTCCTGATTTTGTTACAAACTGGTTTTTGGATAGCGAATTGGCTCCAGAATCTACCTGACACTAAAGAAGCAGCTGAAAGTCACTCCCTGCCCCAACTGATCTTGAATTAAAACGGCACTGAATTTTAGATGAGATAGAAAGTATTGTAAACAGCAAAGTTTCTGATTTCATTTCATAGCATGTATTTATTTCTTGTAAAATATTAACCTTGGATTACCCTTTTCTATCACGTATTCTGTGGCATCAGTTACATCAGGCTCTACTTATATATTTTTATATTTTTAAAAGTTGTAATTTCTTAGCTAGCAAAGAAAGTGAAAATATACCTTTCCGTAGCAGTTCAGGACAAGCTTGTACCGCACATTCTACCTTTGCATTTTCAAAGTAAGTTTCAGCATTATTTATTTGCTGTTTCTGTGGAACATCAGCACCCTGAGAACAACAAAAGATTGTAACTTTCCCATTCATTAATATGTAACAGGAATAACTTTGTATACCAGACTTTGTTTTTGTAAATAAACATCTGCTGATACATCCAAGCAGCTTCACAGAAAGATCGTTTGCAATGAGAATTAAAATTAGTTTTGCAAATATTAAAAGTGGAACAGATACAGGTATAATCTATTGCTGCAACCTGTACAGATATTTCAAGCTTTACATACTACTGTAACCATATGATCTCAAAGCCTTAACCTATACAGAAATGTTTTAAAAAATATCCCTCTGAAACAGTGGCTTCAAGTATTGAATACAACAGCAACTGATATATTTCAAACATACACACATTACCTGAGACAGAATAAAATTTATTATAAAGTTACACAACAGTTCTAGAGCTCTGAACTATCTGCATATTTAGCTTTAGCTGCTGTAGCTTGAAAAGCAGAAGTTTTCCATTAACAGCATTTTTATTCTTTACAGATTTTTAGTTCTAGCTTCTAAATAAAACCCCAAACAACCCCATCAAAACAGATTCTTGTGTATATCTGACAAATGGAGCACCTGTGTGTTAGATATAGCATTAAAGCTTAAAATGCTCTTAAGAAGATAGTAGCAGTTGCCTCCTTTGGGATAGCAACCGTTGTGTAACAGGCATAGAAAGCCTTAACACAGTTTTTGTAACTATGCCATAATTTACACAGAATTTCAGTAAGTTTCTCCAAGACTGAAATTACAACATTGAGTGGTATCTTAAGTCCTACCTAATACCTGTTTGTATCTGAAAGTTCTCCCTAGAGAAAACTGGGAATCTTTTTTCTTCCTACCTATAGGATGCTCCTCTTACTAGATCGGTAACCATTGTGATTTCTCATCTACTCCTCCCATTTCCAGCCGGCTAAACAGCACTTACACAGTATATGCACTTAGCAGGCACGTATCATCAAGAGACTATGGCTATTTTCTGAAGATCAACATCACTTTCTGATACGGATAGGCTGGCAGGCCCATTTAATCCACTCAGATGAAACCAGTACATCAATGTGAGGTATAGATTTGCCAGTCCTCTGACTGGTTCAAGGACCGGTGTGTGAGCATCAGCAGCACTGAGCTTCTCTCCTGCTTGCAGCAGCAGCCTATGGGAGGTTCCTGCATTCAGCTGATGCCATCATTCAAAGCTGGGTCTTCCCCTAGGACGAGTTCAGCATTTTTGTTAGCTCAACGCTGGCCATGGATTCCTAAACACCACAGGCATGATGCAGAGCTGACTTTCTGAATATCAGTTGCAAAATCTGCCTCTGCTCTTTCCAGTTTCTCCCACTATGGACAGCAACAGCTGCACTGGACATTTTACTATACAAGTACTCTTGCTAGAAAGCAGACATGCTTTCAGTGCACCTAGTTTGAAATAAATGAACTAGAATTTTCTATGGGCTTTTATCAGAACATACTATCCACACAAGCTGAAAACAGAATGTGGGGAGCTCACCAGAAGCTTACATCTTCTGAATACTCTGGAATACAATGCTACATTTACAGAAACCACTATATAGTGTTTTCACAATGGAGACTTGCTAGCTGACTTTTAAAGTCTGAGCATGTCACAAACTCAAAGAGCCTGGAAAGCCGAGTCAGCACCTAGGAGCAATAAACGTTTGTTGAAACCCTGCGATCACACTAGCAATTATCAAGCTGCTGCTTGTTAATAATGCATCTGACTCACTGCAAGCTCTGCCATCACCAAAATGCAGTCTCATTGTGCAACCTGAGATTCAGGTACATGCAGCTGTTTCTCCCGTGTGAACTCAATGGTTGTCAGAACTAAGCAGGCAGATCTGCACACCGTCCAAACTACCCAAGTCCAGATCCATTAAATCAAACACTGAAGAAACTACCGACTCTGTTTGACAAAAGGTGGTGAGACTGGGTAAACAGCACACCTTGAAAATCAAGTTTTCTTTCCCT